TTAAATGCTGCATTATATAAATAGTTAACTATTATTAGCACTTTTTATAATATGAATCAATGAATATTCACAAATTCAAATTGATTCGAATTTGTATGAATTGATTCAAATCAATTTAAATTCGGCCTATATGAATTTGAATTTGAAAATTAAGTTCGATTCCAACCTCTAGCTTTGGCTACGTATATGAAAGGCTTTGGCTCCGCTATAGATACACCATGTTTGTTAGGTTGGAGTTTAGAGGTAAACTTCATTAGTATTAGATATTAGAACATAATATTTTATAATTGAATTTTTCAAAAAAGTAAAAATTTCTGGGAAAGTCAATGTTTAAGATAATGCATAGTTAAACTTTCAGGATTATAAATTTGAAGCAAATATTGATTTTTAATAATTTTTTATAAAGTTTTTGTGAAGAAATGATGCAAAAAATCCGAAAATGATAACAAGAAGTGGATAAGGTGAAAAGGGTTTATCATTTGAAAACAGCATATGTTGCAATAATTCATCTATTATTTTGATTTTCTCCAACTTCTAGGCGAACATCAGAACAACTATATATGCGTGTCTAAATTATTTTTTAAAAAAAGCAATTTCGACAAATGAATATTTAACATTGCTAGTTTTTTTATCTGAATTCCACAAAGTAACTATACTACCTAATGTATTTTGACATAAAGAATTCAAATAATTTTACTAAAAATTTCAACAACTATGAAATTTAATTTTGCCATTAAGAAAAATTAATTTCAACAAGCTAAATGTCGAAATAATTTTTTATTAAGAGGAGTAATTTAGATACCCATGTATAGGGATAGCTATTGTTGATGAAATTGATGATTTTGGAAGCAACAGGTACTTCTTTAAAGACTATATGAGTTTTTTACTGAAAGTCGTATCTCTATTCATATAAAGTTCTTCTAATGCAAGTTCATTAATATACATGACTACTTCTAGACATGAATCAAATGTAAACATGTACGATATAAATCAGGATAATAGCTACCAACCTCAGGATGAAAAGAATCACAACAAGCATGCTATACCTAATGGTATAGTATATATTGCAAATGAATGGTTTACATCACAGGTTTGCTTTAAGACTGACACATATTTTCAATTTAACTCAGATTCGAGGAATAATTTTAGAGAGACAACAGAATCAATGGTTGGAAAGGTAGAAAGAATTCTATTGATGATAAACAACATCGACCTGGGAGAGAATTTTCATAGATTACTGTAATTGATTATGAATGAAATTTCAGAGAATCTTGGAGCGAATTTGTGTTAAGTACATATTCTGCCTAAGGATTGGGAAAGTTTTATATTTATTTACGATCTAACAATCTTATAATAACATTATTAGCATCGCACCCAGAAAGCTACCCGTAGACTATACACTAAAGATAAGGTATATTATATTGAAAAGAAGTGGAAGAGTGTTCCCCTCTGCCCTTCAGATAGCATATTGACTTCAAATATCAAGGCTATGTATAAAATTTTCACTATCGACCTATTGATCAAAACCTTAATTTATAAAGCAAAAATGCTCTTGAATTGTTTGAAATACCTACAACTTCTCACAAAGGTAAATAAAGATATTATTAGTTCTAATAATTTATATAAAGATATTTTTGTGTTTAAATTTTTTAACTCAGATAAACATATATAGATTGTATTAGAAAAATGATTTAGATTTAAAGAAAGAATTAAAAGAAAAGAAGTAAGACAACACCTCTAATTGAGGCGGCAAAAACTAAAACATGCATTGTATTTTTGTAGTAATAAGGAATTGTTTATATTAACAACCCTATATATTACAAAAAAGTATATAATTTAAAAACCACTAAAGGATTAGTTGGGTTCATTATATAGTAAATTTAGAGTATATAGTAGATAAAAACAATTAGACTTTGCTTTATCTAGACTTACTAGAGAATTTAAATACTATAAATAAAGTAATCAAGGTTATTAATTTTATTATTTTTATATACAGTATTAGCTTATCTATTTTATTAAAGCAAAAAGTTTTTGAAAAAATTTTATTAAATACTTCAGTATATTTATGTTGAATAATCTTCTTTTCTATATAGTTCAAATATTGTAAGCAGTTACAATATGGAAAATAGTTTAGTCGTCTGACTATCTTTTTTATTATAGAGTTGTGCTGATTGGCTAAAATTTAACATTCGCATTTCGCAACATGAAATTTTGGCAAAATTAACAAAATTATCGTAAGAATTACTTAAATTAATCATAGTACTTTGTACACGATCCCAATCATTAGCAACCAGTGAATTTTAAACTGACATTTTTCTATACTTAGCTAATTTTATTTTTTTGACGGTGACATTGATAAATAGAAGAATAATAAGAATCACTCAAGTATCAATTACTGATTGATGATATTAAATGAGCATGTTGAAGATAATATTTGAGAAAACTTCAATTACATCATATTTAGCACACTGAAAATGTATACAAGGTTGTGCTCTGATGGCTCGATGGCCACAAATCTCGATTTATTCAATATTGAAAATTATAATAATCTATATTATAAAGTCGACTTTTCCTTTGCACTGCACTTTTAGCTCTACTATTTTATTCCTTTATTTGCGCATAACATTAAAGAAAAGAAAATAAAAATGAATTATATATATTTATTTGATCTATTAATTTTACTTCAAATTCTTTAACATTAAATCAAGCTTGCCTAATAATTACGCAACAAAATATGAATTTTATATGATACAGTCAGCCTTAAATTTATCAATCGAAAACAAGCTATTTTCTAGGAAAGTTAGTTTATTTGCTGAAAGTTCTTTAATTAACTTATTTATAATTTTATAAGAAAATTTTTTTTTGTTAATTGAGGTCATCCAAACTGACATGCACTCATCCAGTTGTACATATTTTCGGTATGCGCATATTTAAGTTGTTGATAAAAATTTTGTATAAATATAATATAATTATACTGTAGCTGAGCACTATTGTGATCACTAGACTAGCTAATCACACCAAGAATAAGGTTTGAAAAAGCCTTTAGTCAGTAAATATAATAATCATTTAGTGATAAAATTTAAAAATGTTAAGTAGATATGATTAGGGCATTAATATCATTCTTAATGCACATCTGTAGGACGGGCCTGAATGTAGTGAATATTAATTCAAATACATATGATTATTGTACAAGCAATATAGTCACTTTTCAAGTCTATAATTATTACAGTGCGGTTTATAAATATATCATTTTAAAAGATCAATTTTGGCTAAGCCGACTAAGTTGATAAAATTTTAGTTTATCAGTTGAGCCAATTGAAAATTTTGATTGACCAGGACTACTATTAGACCATTTATTAAAATATTATTAGCAGAAAATAGAAGAAATTAAAAATCATTCTAAAACAATTAGGTATATATGTAGTATGTCAGAATGTAATTATTGTAAATTTAAAATCTACTTAAATTGGAACAGAATTCCAAATATAGTCCAAGTTGTTATGAAATTTAAAGTTGATTCTAAATTTGATACTATATAATTGATAAATTTAATGGATAGCAGCACACCATACTACCAGTAGTATATTGTACTACATTGTGAAAATTTTTGAAAGCAAATACCCACTAATTTAAAAAATTAAATACCTTATTAAATATTTTTTTAAAGTATCTTAAGTCTAT